GGCTATTCAGAGTCCTTTAAGAATCCCCATATGAATTTTGGATGGTTTTCTTCTATTTCTCCAAAAAATGCCATTGAGATTTTGATAGGGATTGCATTCAATCTGTAGATGGCTTTGGGTAGTATGGCCATTTTAACAATATTAAGACTTCCAATTCAGGAACACAGGAAATCTTTCCATTTATTTGTATGTGGCTTCTTCAATTTCTTTCACAAACACTTGATAGTTTTTAGTGTACAAGTCTTTCACTTCCTTGGTTAAATTTATTCTCAAGTATTTTATTCTCTTTGATGCTATTGTAAATGGGGATTATTTCCTTAATTTTCTTTTCAGATTGTTCATTGTTAGTGTACAGAAATACAACTGGTTTTTGAGTGCTGATTTTGTATCCCGCACCTTTGCTGAATTTATTAGTTCTAACAAGGTGTTTTTCCTTTAATCTTTAGGGTTTTCTATATATAAGATCATGTCATCTGTGAACAGAGATAATGAGACCTCTTCCTTTCTGATTTGGATGCCTTTTATTTCTTTTTCTTGCCTAATTACTCTGGCTAAGACGTCCAGTACTATGTTGAAAAAAAGTGGCAAGAATAGGCATCCTTGTCTTGTTCCTCATCTTAGAAGAAACGCTTTCAGTTTTTCCACCATTGCGTATGATGTTAGCTGTGGGCTTTTCATACATGGCCTTCAATATGTTGAGGTAATTTCTTTCTATTCCTAGTTTGCTGAGTGTTTTCATCATGAAAGGGTGTTGAATTCTGTCAAATGCTTTTTCTGCATCCACTGAGATGATCATGTGATTTTTGTCCTTCATCCAGATAGAAACCTTTTTAATTCAAATTGATTTTTGTTTCTTTAGTAAGAACTATGATCTCTATATCCAACACATGTTTATTCTGTTATCCTTAGACTAAAACTATAGACTTTTAGAGCTGGTAGGGACCTTAGAAGTCGACGTCTAAAGTGAGAAGTGAGACCCAAAGTGAGACCCAAAAAGACTAAATGACTTGCCCAGTAGCACACCGGAAGTTATCAAAAGGATTGATACTAGACCCTAGTAGAAAATAGATAATTTTCTGTATTGCTGTATTGCTCATGAACTTACACATAATTTACCTAAGGAAGTACTCTAAAAACTGTCTGAAAATATGTGTGGTGTGAGTGTATGTGTGTGTGTATATACATACAAAACATGTTCATCAGAGCACCACAACAGTGAAAATATGGCAACAATCTAAACCATTCGATTTAGACGATTGGTAGATTATGATATATCCATACAAAAAATACTATGCAGCACCTCTTAAGAATGATATAAAAGCATATTTTCATTGAAATATTTTGAAATAGTTTATAATTTATTAAGTGAAAAAGTTACAAAACTGGATAGAAAGTTTGATTCCATTTCAAGAATTACATGTGTACATACATATGCATTTAAAAAATCTAGGTCAGGGCCGGCCCCATGGCATAGTGATTGAGTGCACGCGCTCCGTTGCTGACGGCCCGGGTTTGGATCCCGGCCGTGCACCGACACACCACTTGTCGAGCCATGCTGTGTCAGCGTCCCATATAAAGTGGAGGAAGATGGGCACGGATGTTAGCTCAGGGCCAGTCTTCCTCAGCAAACAGAGGAGGACTGGCACGGATGTTGGCTCAGGGCTGATCTTCCTCACACACACACAGACACACACAGACACACTAAATAAATAAACAAATAAATATTAAAAAAAAAAAAAATCTAGGTCATAGTGGCCAGCCTGGTGGCATAGTGGTTAAGTTCGTGTGCTCTGCTTCATCGGGCTGGGATTTGCAGGTTTGGATCCCAGGCGCAGACCTACACACCACTTATCAAGCCATGCTGTGTCCCACATATAAAGTAGAGGAAGATGGGCACAGATGTTAGCTCAGGGCCAATCTTCCCCAGCAAAAAGAGGAGGACTGGCACTGAATGTTAGCTCAGGGCTAATCTTCCTCACCAAAAACATAAATAAATAAATAAAAATCTAGCATATATACAAAAATGTTAACTCTTTTATGAATAATGATTCTTAATTGATTTATACCTATCTATATTTGCTAATTTCTTTACAAAAAACATATATTCTTCATGTAATTTAATAAAAGATCTAATATTAAATAATATATTAAAATCTCATGGATGTCTTTAAAACAAAGAGCTTGACTCTGTAGACAATTCCCAATTACTCATGTATGGTTACTTGTCATTCTATGTGCTCACAGATGGGCCTTCCTCCTTGTAGCCAAAAAAGTTTGAGTTGCATTCCTCTTAGCTACATATAGTCCTTAACTCTAACTTCCTTAACCAACAGTCTTAGGTAATTTTTATGATATTTTCAGGATTAATCTAATACCATCAGCCCTCACGCTTATCTGAGGTGCTCCAGAGTAGTCTGCACTAATGAAAGGGAAAACTGAGTAATCTGTTTTGATCACCTGTGTCCATTCCCAAAAACACCTCCCTTCTTAGTAGATACATCTGGGTCCAAAACCAAAACAAAAATATAATCATTTAAAAATCTAAGTTCTTCCACTTCCCTTCATGAACATTTCAGTTTAACCATTAGATGGGGCGATATAAGGGAGACATCTGTGCAGGCAGGGGAGAGGGGAAGCCCAAGCAGAGTAAGGAGCACGCCCGGATGAGACAGAATCGTGTGTGTGTACGCAGGGGAGGGGGGTGATAAGACTGGTTACCCACGGGGGCACTGACGAAATAAGCGAATATATAAAGATAAGGGGAGCCAATTTTTACTTCAAAGAAGGAAATTACACACATTAAAAAGGGGAAAACTAGAATGAATCCTATGGTGTTGGCTGAATTGGAGATATCGTGAGTTCATGGTTTTCCAATATAGACAGATCAACAGATAAGATAATACACATGTAAATATGCATATGTGTATACACACACACAAACACCCTCTGTTCACAAAGGGGGCTCAGGAACAGTGACATCCCCATAACAATGAGTACACCTATACCAAGGTCCTGGTTTCTAAACATCATTCTCCCCCTAAAAGGAACCCGGGCTCCTTGGAGAAATGGCTGGTCCCAGGGTGGAGACAAGGAAAGTACAAAATGAGCCTGGAACATCTTGTTCTACCAGAAAGTAGAGAAGTGCTCAAGAATGATGGGACATGTCAAAGAGACACAGGAGCCCGCTTGAAGGGGCTCCTGCTGGCTAAACCAGGGATAATCTGAACATGAAAATAAATAACAATGATAATGGATCATAACCCACTGAATAAAACAGGACTCCCTGAGTCTAAACTGAGATTTAAAAAATGAAAATAACTGCAAGTTTGATGAGGAATGGGGATGTCTACAATCTCAAAATACCTCCACACAAAATACTTATGAATTACAAATGAGGAAAAGCATAGCTTAACAGTGAAGAACGCTGGGAGACATCACCTTACTCTAGTGTTCACAGATAACAGCACCAGCAGGGATGTGCAGAAAAGAGAGAACACAGCAAGCTTCACACTAGCCTTACAAAGGCCAGCTTGCAGGGATGATCCTTGGGAAACATCTGGGAACTTGGATTTGGGGAGCGTTCCCACCATTTCCTAAATGATAAGTGTGTCTCAATGTGCCTAAATTGTTCATGCAAACAATATGGTTTATGCTGAACACCTACTTTCCTTCTGGGGGTCTGGAATTTTCTATGTGCTAGGCAGAGGGTGCCTACATGACCAGCCCCCAATTAAAACCTTGGACACTGAATCTATAATGAGCGTCCCTGGTAGACAACACTTCTCCCATGTTGTCGCATTTGATGTTGGAGGAATTAAGTGTCTTGTGTGACTCCACTGAGATAGGACTCTTGGAGGCTTGCCTGGCTTTCCCCTTTGCTGACTGTGCTTTGCTACCTTTCTATGCAATAAATCTTAGCTGTGAGCACAACTATATGCTGAGTTCTGCAAGTCCTTCCAGGGCATCACCAAATCCAGGAGTGGTCTTGGGAACCCCTAATACATGAGACATATCAGAATCGTGTGCCGCTTAAGAGGATACAATGAGAAGAACACAGCATCACTTCAGTGAGATTCCTGCCCAAAATACATAACCTGAACCTAATCATAAGAAAACATGAGCGTGAACATGTTTCATGAGAACATGTTCCTCAAAGAGGAACAATTCTACAAAATAATTTGTTATTTCTTAAAGTGTCAAGATTATTGAAGTCAAGAAAAGACTAAGGAATTATTCAAAATGTAAAAAGACTAAAGAGACATGAATACTAAATGTTATGTGTGATTCTGGCCTGGATCCTTTTTTCTATAAAGTACATTATTGGGACATCTGATGATGATAAAATAAGGTCTATGATAACGGTAACATGTCAGTGTTACTTTCCTGATCTGAACGGATACACTACATAGGAAAACTTTCTTGTTGATAGTAAATAGCTACTCAAGTGTCCAGGATCATGGGACATCATATCAGGACCCTACTTTCAAACGGTTTAGGGTAAAACAAAACATTCTTGGTACTGTTCATGCAACTTTTCTCTGAGTTTGAGATTGTTCCAAAATAAAAAGTAAAATAATAAGGATGATGATGATGATTCCATTTGTTGATACCCAAATCTAGTCCTTATAATAATATACTAAGAGAAGGTACAAAATCCTAGGTAGGAATAGCAGAAACAGGGTAGGGGTGAGGAAAGTACTTGCCCCCTCATCCTCCCTCACCAAGAAAAAAGTTTACATAATCAGGAGAGCTTCGAAGACAAACGTTTTAATGGCACTGGCTTAGGATAATTAAAGAATCACTGAACATAGAAAAATCACCCAAGGGTCCAGAGCTGACTACTGTTTATCTAGTAACTACTTAATGAGTCTTAACCATTCGTGATAAAATTAAGAAGTTTTACTCATTGTAAATTTTCATAGATCACTTTCAGCTGGAAAAACCACCTACAACATCCATTACCAAAGAATCACTAAAAAATTCCAAAAACACTAAATTACCGTTTGTGTGCTTCCTGTTTGCTGCGACATTCTTCACAGTAATATTTGTATTCACTGCATAGAGTTTCTGTGTTGCTAAAACCCCTGTGTAAAATTCAAAATAAATTTATTTTGTCTATACCAGAAAATCATGTACTCATTTAAAAATATTCTAAACCAAAGATATTCATGAAATTTCAAAATAAATAACTGTACACTTACCTTAAGCAGTGAGTAATTGATGTGTTTTGTTCCACGTCAACAGAAAGGTCTAAAAAATCTTCATCTTTGCTGCTTATCTGTAAAAATAGGAAATTACCTTTGATTTCTTTAAATATCAGTAAATCACTGTTCCAAAACGATAGAATTAAATGCATTCTATTATTAGTAGTAAGTATATGAAGAATTCTTTTTCCTAAGTTGAAAACTACTTGAGTAGGATTATCCAAAAGGACGCTGAGTAAGTGACTCTCATCATACGTAGAGGGACAGCACCATGCACACCTAGAGCTGAGGACTGGCAGAGGCTGGTATGATGCGCAATTCCATCACTTTCCAAAATCTTGGTGTTACTGTAAAGCATGAAACAAACTGTACCATAGACACTAATTCTTATAAAAACATACGCCAAGACTTAATGAGAATGCTTGGCAAAGGACATGACACCTGCACTGTTATATCATTTAAGAAAATAACTTAGCCCACAATGCCAAATTATAATCTTCATTTATGACCTTCTTTTATTTCTCCAAAAAAATCTAACATAAAGCTCTGTTTGACTTACAGGTAAATGTTATAAAAAATAAAGTTATTACTTATTCATTTGAATTGGATTGGGACAGAACTTTAGACAACAATTTCCTAGTATTCCTTCAATGACTCCATGCCCAAGGTGAGCATGCAATAAAAGACAGGTCTGACTCAGTTCCCCTGTGCCTCTCACCCACAACTCTACACCCAGTTGAGTAAATGCCTTCCTCTGTCAATACCACATCAATGTTATAAGCTCAAGTATCATTAATTTATGATAGATTATGTGGCTATATAAATTACAGATCTATGCAAATATGAGTAAACAGGAATACTATGTGTACAAGGTATCTAGTGCACTACAAGATAACTCATCTGGGTCTCAATAGATTCAGTGAAAAAGAGGGGGAAGAAAGGCAACTCAGAGAAAAGAGAACATGATGTGTGTAAGGAAAGATAAATAGCCCACTTTGATAGGAAAGTGAGCAGGGTGATAAGACATAGTATGGTAGAGGTAGGCCAAAGTCAGATCAGGCAGGGCCTTACATGTAGGCTAAAGAGAAAGACTGAAGAATCTGGTGTTTCTCAAAGTGAGATTTGTGGTCTCAGACACTACCTCAGGGGTCTTCATTTTAAATTTTTATCTTTATGATAACATAAAAAATTGACATAAGGATATTCTGGATCATTTGGATATATCTGAGTTACTGTGTTTATACTGACAATTGTGTTGGTGTCAGGTGATGACCAACTGGGGCAGTATTTAACTTTTAAAAGTGTAAACACTTCTGGTTGTTGCTGGACTGCTTGCTATGTCCTAATGTCAGGTCACACCCAGGATCTGGAGATACGAGTCTAAAGATCAGTGAAGTCTAGGTGGGAGACCTGGACTGGGAAATCATCAGCACAAGTGGTAATGAAAGTGAATATGAGCCTCCCAATGCAGAGTGAGAAGCAGCCAAAAATGAAACCCTGGAGGACACCTACACTTAAAGAATAACGAGAAGAAGAAAAGCCAAGGGATGAGATCAAGAAGGAACCATCACAGAACAGAGAACACCAACAGAGGGTGTTGTTACAGAAACCAGCCTCCTACCCAGCTGAGATATTAACAACTGCATTACTAAAATCTGCCATACAAGCACTGTCTCTTCCAAGAAGCCCACCCCAAACCTTCACAAACTTTCCCACTCCCACCTGGATTAGGTCTACTATTCTCCGGCTCCCATGGCATCTTGTGTTTACCTGAACCATACCACATTCTACTGGAATTGTCTGACTATTTATTGATCAGTCTGCACTACCCGATGAGTATCCTGAGGTCAGAAACTTTGTCTTATTCATCTTCTGCCAACCTCTACCCATCTTCTACCTGGCATAGTTGGTACTTAAATATTTGTGCAAAACTAAATGAAGAAATGATATATGTTCACTCTTGAGAAATTCTGAATTTCATCCCTCTAGCTTAGTTTGATAAAGACATAGTACTAATAATCATTTAATGAATCTGCAAGATGATGGTTTAGATTTTGAGGAAATATTCTCAAGTTATACCCTTAATTCTTGGGAGACTATCTGCAAATATATATTACAGGTCATAGGAGGATCTAGTGAAGAAAGGGCGGAAGGATCACTATCCATCCACTACAAATCAAATTAATAACATTTGAGCACTAACAAGAATGGCTGATATCACTTTCTCCTTCAAAAACATTTAATCCCCAGGGCTGGCCCCATGGCCTAGTGGTTAAGCTTGGTGTGCTCTGTTTTAGCGGCCCAGGTTCAGGTCTCTGGCACCAACCTACACCACTTGTCCAAGGCCATGCTGAGGCGGCGACCCACATACAAAATAGAGGAAGACTGGCACAGATGTTAGCTCAGGGAGACTCTTCCTCAAGCAAAAAGAGGAAGACTGGCAACAGATGTTAGGTCGGGGCAAATCTTCCTCAGCCGAAAAAAAAAACAAAAAAAATTTTAATCCTCATTCCCCATCATCCCCCAGTCTACAAAACAAACTTCAAAGGCCTTAGCATGGCATCCCAAACACCTCCACACAGGTCCTAAATCTACTTTGCCAGCTTCACTTATCACTCTATATCTCAACATGCTAAGCAAATTCACCTATTTTCTGTTGCATTGAAGAAGACTGAATTATATAACCTACTTTCTAACAGAGACCAAATTCCATTATACCAAACATCAATCAACTGCCAAATTCTCTGATTATACCTACTATTCCAATTGAAATAGTGCTCTAATAATTGGGCAATGTTTCCTAAAGCTTGGAATTCAGTTATGATAAAATTTTTCTTCGTAAGATACATCTATAAAACTCATGTTAAAATAACTGAAGTTGATTAGATTGAATAAAGATGAATATTGAGCCCAATTTCCAACATCAAACATTTCCCAATCAAGCCATTAATGCAATTAACTGACGGCCGTAGCAACGAACAAAACACACGCCAAAGAAATCCTTAATCTAACCCCAAAACACCGTCAGAGGCTGTCAATGTATTCAAGCACTCAGTTACACCTCTTTCACTTGATCTCAAAGATGCTTGCCAATAAAAATATATTTAGAAAAGAGAATTGTATTCATTTACCAGTACTGTGTCCTTTATTGTTTAAAATTACACTATTCACAATGCTTGTTCTAGAAATGCCTGGTTATAGTTAAAAAGATCAACACATAATCAACAGTCAATAGATCACTCATTGGTGTGGGTTATGATTCTATTTAAAGACCCTATCTTTTCACTCATGGTTGAACCAAAAAGATCACTATTTGCTTAAAAAAAAAGAAGAAAGCAAGAAAGAAAACAATACCATTTACATTAGGACCAAAAAAAAAAAGTGCTTAGGTATAAATCTAACAAAACATGTACAAGATCAATATGAGGAAAACTACAAAACTCTAATGAAAGAAATCAAAAGATGTAAATAAATGTACAGTCCATGTTAATGGACAGGAAGACTCAATATTGTCAAGATGTCAATTCTTCACAACTTGACCTATAGATTCAACACAATCCCAACCAAAATCACAGCACATTATTTTGTGGATAATAAATCAGTTTCGAAAGTTTGTATGATTCTAAAGTTCATAAGAAGAGGCAAAAGACCCAGAACAGGCAACACAATATTAAAGAAGAACCAAGCTGAAGGACTGACACTACCCAGCTTCAAGACTTAGTATAAAGCTACAGTAATCAAAACAGTGTGGTATTGGGGAAAGAATAGACAAATTGATCAATGGGACAGAAGAGAGAGCCTAAAAATAGACCCACACAAATATAGTTAACTGATCTTTCACAAAGGAGCAAAGGCAATTCAATGAAGAGAGGATAGTCTTTCCAATGAATGGTATTGGAACAACTGGACATTCACACGCAAAAAAAAATGAATCTGGACACAGACTTTACATCTTTCACAAAAATTAACTCAAAATGGAGTATAGTCCTAAATATAAAATGCAAAACTATGAAACTCCTAGAAGATTAACATAAGAGAGAATCTAGATGACCTTGGGTTTAGTAATGACTTTTCAGTCAACATCAAAAGTATTTGAAGAACACCAAAAGCATTTCTATGAAGTACCTTTATTAAAATTAAAATATTAAAATTAAAACATTAAAAACTTCTGATCTGCCAAAGACACTATTACGAGAATCAGAAGACAAGCCACAGACTGAGAGAAAATATTTGCAAAAACATATCTGATAAAAGACTAGTATCCAAAATATACAAAGAACTCTTAAAACTCAACAATAGGAAAATAACCCAATTTTAAAAATAGGCCAAAGACACCTCACTAAAGAAAATATACAGATGGCAAATAAGCATATGGAAAGATGCTCAACATCATATGTCATTAGGGAATTGCAAATTAAAACAACGAGATCCCACTACACACATACTAGAATAGCTAAAATCAACAACACTGACAACACCAAATACTGACAAGGATATGGGGCAACAGGAACTCTCATTCACTGCTGGTGGGAATGCAAAATGGTACATCCACTTTGGAGGACAGTTTGGCAGTTTCTTACATAACTAAACATACTCATGCCACATGATCCAGCAATTGTGTTTCTTTGTACTAACCAAAGGAGTTGAAAACTTATGTCCACGCAAAAATCTGCACGTGAATGTTTATAGCAGCTTTATTCATAACTATCAAAACTTGGAAGCAAGCTAGATGTCCTTCAGTAAGTGAATGGATAACTATGGTACATCCATACAATGGAATATAATTCAGCAATACAAAGAAATGAGCTACCAAGCTAGGAAAAGACATGGAGGAAATAAATATATGTTGCTAACTGAAAGAAGAAACTCTGAAAAGGCCACATACTCTATGATTTCAACTATATGACATTCTGGAAAAGGCAAAACTAGGGAGGTAGTAAAATAATCAGTGGTTGCCATGGGTTTAGGGAGGTGGGAGGGGTGAATACATGGAGCACAAAGGAGTTTTAGGGCAGTGAAACTATTCTGTATGATACTGTAATGACAGACATATGTCATTACATATTTGTCAAAACAAATAGAACCATGGAACAGACAACACCTAGAGTCAACCCTAAAGTAAACTATGGATTTTAGTTAATAATAATATATGGATATTAGCCCATCAATTGCAACAAATGTACCTCACTAATGCAAGATGTTAATAATAGTGTAAAGTGGTGAGGAGGAGGTATTTGGGAACTCTCTGTACTTTCCACTCAATTTTTCTGAAGTCTATTAATTAAAAAAAAGACAGTTCCTTATGAGTCTCTGCCAGTGTTATCTGATTTAGTAAACCAAGTAGACTATGTTATTCTTCCAAACATCCATAAAATATTTCTCTTACTTTTCTTGCTTGTGAACTCTCTTTCCCAATGGACCATGCTACTCTCCTATGCTATTAAAAACTAGTAGTACAATTGTCATAGTAAAGACTGGATCAGGCAAATATCATCAGTGGATGTTAAATCTTAGAGGCGATTTCGATGAGGAACAAGACTTTTGTGTCTCCCCAAAGACTGCCTACTAGTTACAAGGGCATAAAAACCAGTCATCATGAAGTGGAGAAAATGAACAACACCTAGAATGGGAGACCAAAATTAATTTCACCAGTGAGGGGCAGATGGATATTGTGTGCCTAGATGTGATACCCTGAGAAAGACACAGCAATAACTATGAATTATTCCAGCCAAGAATGTATAACCCGCATCTAATTAGAAGGAAACATCAGACAAACTCAATATGAGGAACGTTAGATTAAAAAAAAAGAGGGGAGGGAGGGGGACATATTCTTTAAAAATGTATATGTCATAAAAGACAAAAAAGAATATGGAAATGTTCCAGATTAAAGGAGGCTAAAAAAAACATGATAACTATATACAATGCAAACTACTACTCAACTCTAAACTGGATTCTGTACTGAAGGGGAGGAAATGCTATAAAGGACATTATTGGCTCAACTGGCAAAATTGGATAGTGGGAGGCCTCATTAAGTATGAGTTTAATCTTTCATTCCTCAAGCGAGAAATAAGATAACAAGGTAAGAATGTAACCGGAGTGCTGGGTTATCTGATCCTACATGTAATCAGTTTTCACGCTTCTTCCATACTGTTCATCTTTACAAAGGATCCAGCAAAGTAGGTATTTTCCTCTCCCTGAGTATACACAGTGTGCTTTAGTTTTTATTCCAACCATAAACAATAAACATAATTGTAGGAAAAGGAAAAACAATCAGTATAACTCCCTGACCTATAAGCTTCTGAAGAGCTTAACTAAGATATTAATTTCCAGAACATGGCTCTATGGCCTCATATTTTGAAACGAAAGCCAATAGCTCAAACTGCGGTAAGTGTTCTTCTATCACCTCAAGTATTCACTGTTAATAAGCAGCATTATGAAAAAGCATAGATTCCTTTCAATTGACAAGTACATCTTTAACATTCATTTATATTATACCTAAGAATTACAACTTTCAAACTCATCTCTCACACTCATCCTCAAAGAACTTTTAATATAATGAATCAAATTTGTTCTATACAAAATTTTATGATATACTTACAGTTTCACAAGTAAGACATCTGGTTTCATTAGTTAATGTTCCCTGAAAGATCTCATGAACCCAAGTTGGGTCTGGTGTGCTGTTGTTATTTTCACTGTCAATATTACCATTAGGTAAACGGCCATTTTGTTTTTCCTGCTTTCGCTCTTCTTGTAAAATATCAGCAATTGTATTTAGCAGGTAATTTAAGAATTCATGGGCATCTTGCTGCATGTAGTTGTCAAAAAGCTCTAAAAATAAAAACATATTAGAGAATTATTTTAGAATTAAATAACTTCATTAAAAAACTAAATTTAATGCAGCATTATTCACCATAGCCAAGAAGTGGAAGCAACCCAAGTGTCCGTCCACTGATGATTGGATCAAGAAGATGTGGTATATATATATAACGGAATACTACTCAGCCATAAAAAAAGACAAAATCGTCCCATTTGCAACAACATGGACGGACCTGGAGGGTATTATGTTAAGTGAAATAAGCCAGAAAGAGAAAGACAAACACCGTATGATCTCACTCATATATGGAATATAAACCAACACACGGACAGAGAAAACTGTAGTGTGGTTACCGGGGCAATGGGGGTAGCGGGTGGGCACAAGGGGTGAAGGGAGACATGTATATGCTGATGGACAAACAAAAATGTACCACCAAAAATTTCACAATGTTATAAACTATTAAAACATCAATAATAAATAAATAAATAAATAAATAAAACAGTAACTGACATTTTTTTTTTT